AAGAATGATTTTTACCTTTCTAAATGATTGAGAAAATCAAAATAATAATAATATTGTGTGATAGATGAACATTTTATGAAATTTTAATTTCATTCTCAATTAAAAATGCCTTCTTAGAACACATCCATGTCCATTCATTTATGCATTGTCTATGGCTGCTTTTACCTTGTGATGGTAGAGTTAAGTAGTTGCAAGAAAAGGTATGGCACCAGAAACCTAAAATATTCACTTTCTGGCCCTTTACAGAAAAAGCTTTGCAAGCCATTTGTTTAAAATATAAGGAATCAGAATTTGTGAACACATTGATGTCTCTTCCTTCCTTATAATGCTGAACTATGTCAGAATTTGGGGATGTAATATGGAGATTATTTTGTATTTATGACAAATGCCATTTAGCACGTGTTGGATATTGAAGAGTAGAATTTGGAGTTGTTTTGAGGAAAGGAATGTGATTTGTCAATGGGAGATGGGGTAAAGAATGAATTAAGTTTAAAAAAAAAACTAAAATATTGGAAAAATAAAAGGGATATTTTTACAAGTCCTACACCATACCTTTAAAATCATGAAGTGGCAAAGTCACAAGAAGAGTGACTCATGACAAATGACAGCTATGGTTGTACTACTGTATCCAACAAAATTGTGTGTCCCAGAATCTTCTTCATTTTCCTGATGACTTCTCTTTACCTTGAAAGTTCTTTCCTCCTGCCCACATCACAGGAGGAATTTATTCATGAATAAATATTTACGTATGTGTGTGTGTGTGAACGTGTGTGTAGGGGGAGAGACAGAAGGAAAGAGAGAGAGACAGACATGAGCCAAGAAAAAAGTTTTATCACAGATTTTGTAGAGATCATCTAGGTTGCTATTGATCCAATATTTATATCCTGTCGTCCAATGATTCTCAAGGAAATTGTCCCCAGTGTTTGGGACAACCTCCTTTTGTGAAGAGCCATTCTATGCAGTAAAAGAAATGTGTCATTCCTGGTCCCCACCTACTAAATATCTATGACATCTTTAAATCATTGTAACAACTCAAACTAGATTTTCAAAATTTCTCTAGTTGTTGGTGGAACCACACCTAAATCACTAACCTATTACAAACTCATCTATTTCTAATATTCTTAAATACACGTCTTCTCAATTTCATTCACAAAGAGCTTTGTAAAATGATTTTTCAAAATTCTAATGCATTATGTCTCCAGAAATCCCTTGCATACCATTTCTGTGATGCTCTCCTTCAAAGTAAACAAAGTCCGTGTGGCATATATTAATGTGACATAAACTATTCACTATAATCCCAGCCTGACTCCTGATGAGCAGCCCTTTCTCTTTTAATGTTTATAACTTAATATTTTAAAATTAAATTCTAATTCCAATTAAAACAAGATTCCATTTATGCCTGTACAATTAGGATATGTTTAGACATCTCATTTCTTAACAGTGATGAGAGTACAGCAAAAAGTGAAATTTCATACACTGGATGGAAGAGTGACCTGGTTCAAAATTTCTGGATGACAAAAACAATGTGCATCATCAGACTTAACATATATACCTGTTTTGACTAACGGATCACATTCTAGGAAACTCTAATCTTATTGCCTGTAAAAAAAGTACAAGTTTAAGGTCAGAGGTGATCATTCCAGTGTCATCTATAAATGGAAACAACCTAGTGGTCTAATAATAAGAGAATGATGGATCTTTATATGATAGAATAGTATTCACCCTTTACAAATATGCTTTATGGAAATACCCTATCATGGACAATGTTAAATAAAAATATCACATTAGAAAATTGTATTTCAAGATATTACTTCAACTATACAATAAAAGATATAAGGAATAAAATTTCTGTATAAAAATAAAATAAAATATTTTACTGTGATTCTTTCCTACCTGCCCCGCTTGGTGCAGGAGAAAAAAGATGAGATAAAACATGTATGAGTCAGCATTTACTAGCATATGTGCAATAAAAGCAAACGTAAATATTGCTAGCTTCCAACCACAAATATGTATTTCTCACTCACACTATATAGGTGTTGAGTGTTGTGCCTCAAAGAATCCCAAAGCATCCATGGTCCTACCAGTCTTAACTGATCTCCCTTGAACCTGGCTTTAGTCTGCAGATCAGATTTAGGTCTCCTCTGAAAGAGCACTTTCTGGGTTTTCTTTGGTGGAGGGCATTCCATTGATGCAGCCCAACGTGCATTCCAAGAAAGCAAGAAGACTGGCAAAAACTTGCACTGCTTTTAAAAGCTTCTGCTTGAGCATCATAATCAAGCCACTCATATTTCATTGACTAAAAGTAGTCACATAAACAAGTCAGTGGTCTGGAAAAATCTACTCTGCAAGGTAACAATGGCAAGGGAGAGCAGTGGACAAATGATTCTGGACAAATCTACAGCTGTGAGATAGGGTTTTTATGTTCGCTTTGTTTTATGCATGTATGTGTTAGTGGCTTTACACTTTACTGTATTTTTCAAATTTGGTATATTTTACTTTCAAACATAATTTAATAAATTTTAAAACTTATGTAAAATGTATATGTAAAATAAATAATTATATATATACAATTTACATATACAATAAAATTCATAATACCCATTATCACATTTACCTACATTTGGTAATAAACTTCTCATATTATTTTTCGGAAACAATATTCATCTCTTTTTTAAAAAAATATATTATTTTATTTGTCTACTTGCAGTATTCTGGACTGTTTCTTTTCTTCATACGTTATGATGAGTGTACTTTCTTTGGCTCAAAGAGATTAAATTATTTCAGGACGCTAAGATAAAATTCATTTGTTGCAAAAGTTCTAGATGAAATGTGAGCAGTTCGGTGGCTCTTTACCATTCATTCATTTGTACTTGTATGGACAAGAAATAGGAGCAAGATTATCAGTTAATCTGGAGAGCTGGGGGCTCAAAAAGAATAAGGTATTTGAAATAAAATTTATGTAGGATAATAGATTCTGTAAAAGATGGATGACAAGATCATTGAGAGACAGAGAAGGAGCAATTCAAAATGTTGTTGTAGGGATAAGAGTACTGTTACTTCCTGGAGTTTATCAATCCTATACACTATTCCCTGAAATTGTTGTGCATTTGGCAATTTCAGCGAAAGCTGAAAGAAGCAACCAGTGACCCTTTCATTGTGATTTCATTATTTGGTTATATTTATTTTATTAAAGAAAGATTTATTTAACTCAGCATATTTACCACTTACTATAATTACTTATTTTTATTTATAATTATAGGTTTAATGGCAATTTTGTTTGCTTTTTGTTTACTTAATGATTAATTTATAGACATTTGGGTCATACAAACATGATTTCAGATCCTGGCCCCATCGGTATCGGAGTTGTGCCATTTGAGCTACTAGTAATTAAGCAGTAGATCTTAATTATCATCAGCAGCTTTATTATTAGGAAATAGACATAGAACAAAAGAGAAATACAGTAAGGAAAAGAAGTAAATGAGTGGTTTCAAAGAGAAAAAGAGGATGATTTGGGGGTGGATACCTTACAATAAATAAATAAATAGGTAAGTAAACAAACAAATAAACCAATAAATAAAGTGATTCTCTGGGATTTTGAATATTATCAGACAAACCTGACAATAACCTGAGATTGTAAATATGTGGATTAAAACTATTGGGAACATCCAAAACACCACTGAAGGTGATGTAGAAATAATTTAAGTGGCATACCTAGACAGTGATTTAAATTTAAAAGTGGCAAACTAATGATTTATATTGGAGAAAAACTGTGAATTAGAAGATGTGGTTGGCTGAAAGAACTAGAAAATGACTCCCAAAGAACCACACTGTATAACCAGCCTTAGCAGTATCCAAAAAGGAGACTTAGTGTCCAATCACCTTAGAGTGGTACCTACTCATCCTGGCCAAATTCACCACTTGCTTTTGCTTTGTCTCCATGCTCTCCAAGCAACATTCCAAATACTAGTAATCCAATTTCCCATGAAACTACAAACTAGGATGGGTACTCCCTGCATGGGAGATGGAATAATTCTTGTCATTTGGAAGGAATGTCCCTTTTGAAATGAATTTACTGGTGGTTGGCTTATACGATTCTTTCTCTTACGTGTTGAATTATATGAGTCAGACAATCCAATATTTCTAAATGCTGCAATACTAACATGAACGTTTGAAGGCACCAATATAACACCATCCTCTGAGATTTCTTTTTGAAAAATTAATTAGGCTTCACTTGTCGCCCTGCACTTATTGCCATCTTCTGTCTCCCCCTACAAAATAACAGTCATCTCCTACTTCCCTACAAGTAAATTATAGGTAATATCTATAACCTTAAATTCAGTTGACTAAACATAGCATTTAAATTTTGTCTTATTAATTTTTAAATGTCAGATATATTTCTAATTAAGTCTAAAATTCCAGATAATTATTATTCTCTTTTTTCTCTTGATGCAATAACATGAAAATATAACGGATGAGTAATAATCTTCATGTACACTGTAGTCTAGGCCCATAAGAGTGTTATTTTCTGAGATTTATTTTTCCTACCACAACACCTGATTATTTTAAATGCAGTTTGTTTGAATATATATAAACTAGCATTTGTTCTGTGATCTCAAAATATCATGGCATATCCTGAGTTATAAGGAGGTGTAATATTGATTTACAATCCCCAAACTTATGCTACTCACTAGGAAATACAAACTCTTCCAATGAGTGTCATGGTCACAATACTAATGGTTTAACTGGTCTTGCTGCTTTATTTTTTCCTACATGGTTTTAAACATCGGGGGTGAGGTATGTAAATCATTAGAAGTTTTGGGTGGGTTATGTGGTTTATAGAGGCATAGCACATGAAAAAAAAACACATAAAGATAAAATTGGGATGGGGAACTTTCATCCATAAAAGGAAAAACTTACAGTCGGTCATTCAGTGGAATGAACATATTAATAACTTGCAACATTCCTGCGACATCACTACACCTTGGCACTGAGCAGAAATGCCAAATGTAATGTTTCACGACCTATTTTTTTCCATGAATATTCATTCTTTCTACAGTTGGAGGAAAATATTGTCATTTATATGGAACTTAAAAACATCACTAAAATAAAAACATCTGGTAAAAATAGGCCAATATGTTAAAATCCAAGAGGACGCATTTGGGCTTTTTGTATTCTGCTTTTTCCTCATAAAAGGTCAAATTCTTCGTAGAACTTCATCTGTGTATTGTAAGTAGTATTTTAAGATCATAATACCTCTACTAAATTATGATTGCCTATGCATTGTCTTGTAGTACAGTTTTCTTTAACATTAAAGCTTTATGAAAAGTGCAAAGGGAGCACAGAATATGAGTAAATGGCTGGTATGTAAGACCCTGCTCCTGAGATGCTGCTAGAACTTACTAAATCCATATTTAGACATTAAATGATGTCAGGTCTCTTTGGGGGTCAGTTCAAAATGCAAATTTCATCTCTGGTTAAATGCAATTTCATGGTACAGAACACTACTTCATAAAAATCATATACATATATGGTGGAGAACCTATGTAAAATACACAAAAAGTACACAGAGGATTCAATGGAATTTTTTGGAAAATAGCTTTGGGGAGAGAGAGAGAGAGAGAGAGAGAGAGAGAGAGAGAGAGATCATCCATCTGCTGTAATTTGTTTAGAATTATTTAGAAGATTCAATTTTATATTTTTATCTTTTAGTGCTTGCCTAAAGTTTATAATGCTAAGAAGACTATTTTTCTCCATTGAATAAGTAGAATTGACTATTTCTATTGCATAGAAACAAATACTTCAATAGGCTTTACAAGCATTTGAAAAATATTTCATTAGCAAATTTTTCCTCTTGTTAAACTACTTTAAAAAAAATTAATTCAGGCTTCCCTGGTGGCGCAGTGGTTGAGCGTCCACCTGCCGATGCAGGGAACGCGGGTTCATGCCCCGGTCCGGGAAGATCCCACATGCCGCAGAGCGGCTGGGCCCGTGAGCCATGGCCGCAAAAAATAATAATAATAATAAGTGTAGAAAGAATCTGGTCTCCTGAATAATCGAAGTTAAAATATCCCTGGGCTTTTTGTTATATGTGACAAGAAATTTCTTTATGCTTTAATTTTTTTTTTTTTTTTTGCGGTACGCGGGCCTCTCACTGTTGTGGCCTCTCCCGTTGCGGAGCACAGGCTCCGGATGCGCAGGCTCAGCAGCCATGGCTCACGGGCCCAGCCACTCCGCGGCATGGCATGTGGGATTTTCCCAGACTGGGGCATGAACACGTGTCCCCTGCATCGGCAGGCGGACTCTCAACCACTGCGCCACCAGAGAAACCCTATTCTTTAATTTGAGTTAGAAATGTCTATTACTTGAAAACCGAGCCATAGTAACCGATATAAAAGAACCTACGTTTTTTGGGCTTCCCTTAAGAATCCGCCTGCCATTGCAGGGGGTGCGGGCTCCAGCCCTGGTCAAGGAAGAGCCCACATACTGCATGCGCCACAACGACTGAGCCTGCGCTCTAGAGCCTGCAAGCCACAACTACCGAGCCCACGTGCCACAACTACTGAAGCCCACGCACCTACAGCCTGTGCTCCCACAAGAGAAGCCACCGCAATGAGAAGCCCGCACACCACAACGAAGAGTAGCTCCTGCTCTCCGCAACTAGAGAAAGCCGGCACCCAGCAACGAAGACCCAATGCAGCCAAAAATAAAATAAATAAAATAAATAAGTAAATTTATAAAAAAAAAAAAACAAAGAACCTACATTTTTTTAAATCACTAAGGTTCTGAAATTTGCTACGTACTTAATATTTACACACAACCATTGAGGTAGGGGTTATTATTGCTACTTTAGTAATACTGAAACAAAGGCTAAGAAAGGGCAAATAACCTACACCAGTTTACATTGGTAGAAAGTGATGGATCTGGATTTGAAACCAGATTTTGCAATTCCAAGCACCTTACTTTATGCTTGATGTGAAGGTTCTTCTAACTTGTGTAGAAGGTTTGGGATAATTTCCATTAGAGTTCTAAGTAATACTGAGAAAATATAATTTTTGTCTGTGTAATTTCCCTTTGACTGTAAAAGCCACAACAAATGACAGCAACAACAAATGAATTTTACTAGGTTGACCCATCTTTTTCATAACAGTTGGTTAATCTTATCAATCAGGTCAGTCTATGTAATATACAAACTATACAGTCTTTATTTACTTTTTACTATATGTCTGGGATTCTTTCATGTCTTTAAAATGTGGGAAGGATACTGACATAAAAGCCATGGTCTTCTCTTACAAAGACAATGCAGTAATGTATATGAATTGTACATCAGGACTTCAAAGTATTCTTCCTTAATCACGTGTTGATATTCTTCTTTAACAATACCTTTTGCGTGAAGTCTTCTGGTTCTCCTTTACCAACCAGTTGGCATCTACCCTTTTAATTATCTAATTCCTGTACTACTTTGTGTCTCTTCATAGATAATTGAACATGAGGAATTATTCTGATATGTTTTATTTAGCCTTTTGCTATAGACTGAATATTTTCACACACACCCCATTCATATGTTGAAATCTATTATCTGATGTGATGGTATCAGGGAGTGAGGCCTTTTGGAGATGCTTAGGTCATGAGGGTGGATTAGTACTTTTATAAAAGAGACCCTTTTTGCAATGTGAAGTTACAATGAGAAAAATGCTCTCCATGAGGAATGATGTCTCACCAGACACTGAATCTGCTGGCACCATAATCTTGGACTTTCCAGCCTCCAGAACTATGAGAAATAAATGTTTGTTATTTAAAAGACAATAGTTAGTGGGGTTGTTTTTTGTAGCAGCCCAAATGGACTTAGACACCTTCATAATAATTTTTAAAAATCCTTGAGTGTCAAACAGCATTGTATTCATGCTGGTATCCTTCAGAGCCTGTAGCATTTATTCATTAAAAATATGTATTGAGTGCCTAATTTATGTTAGTATACCAGGGCTTGGGGATACAAAGATGAATATGTAAAGTACTTGGCCCACCATGATAGGCACTTGGGAAATTTTGTTGAATTTTATTTAATTTATCCCACAATAATGCAAGAGTGAGCCTCTTTGGATCATCCTAAGAATGGAGGTCATATAAAACATAAGGTTAATGACTAAATAATGGAGTTAAAATTTAAGGTTAAATGCCATGCTGGTACACTGCGTTATGTGATTTCTGCACATAATGAAGGTGGGTCATTAATGATTCAACACTTTCAGGCCTGCTTAACGCAAACAACAATGAAAAAGAATCTAAACACAATTTCCCAGCTTTCAGATGGATGAGGTTAAATTGGGCAAGACAGCAAATAATGAGGGATAGTAAGGAAGAACTCAAATCATCCAGTACATTAACGAAACTGATGTGCAGTTAATACTGAAAAAGATGTATCACTTTGCTGGCTGAAAAGTGAGAGATTCCTTTCTAAGAGGCAATGGAAGACACATCCGTGCATCTTTACATGTTCATATAAAATCCTTTTTTCAAAGCTCAGTTCATAGGTCATCTTTTTCATGCTTCCTTTTCCTGCCTCTCCCCCCCAAGCTGTCTCTGCACCCTCACATTGTTCTATCCTTACTTCCTTTGGGCTTGGTGGTCTGTCCTGTCACCCACGTAAAGAATGTTAACTCTCTCAGAAGAACAGAACACACGTCCATGTATTCTCCTCAGGTCTAGGAACTGAACTAGGCATTTTTTTATATGCTGTCTCACCTTATCCTCACACCAGATCTATAACATGGGGATAAAGGACAAGATGAAGAGTGTAGTGTCAAAGCCTTAATTAAATTTCCTGAGGTCACATAAGAAGTGAAGACCCAAACTGGGTTTCAGACTTAGGAATGTCTGACTTCAAACTCATTATATTTCCTGCAACCCTAAACTCTCAGAGCAAGGCCCTTATTTAGATAGATGTGGGTGCTTGATAGAATTGGTTAATTCAAGGAATAAAATGTTAACCAATAGGTTAAATAATTAATAAAGCATTTCTATAGTAAATTAATCTTATGTCTTTGACAAAAGTATTTCTACAACCATATTTTGTATCAGAAGTTGGTCAGATACAAACATCACATTTTGATTAAAAAGCTACATTACCTACAAAAGCAATGACACTCTTGTAATTCCTGTTTGAACAGAGCTGGTACTTGCTTATCTCATACAAAATGAGCTAATTTCAGCTTGACATAACCAAGAATTGTCATATAGAATTCCACCTTTGAGACTGAATGTTTTCAGCTTTCTTAACTAATGTTATATCATCTGGAAGTGTCTTGGCTTCAAATAACAGAAAAATCAAAGTAATAGGAAACAACTAGGAGTATATCTTTCTCATATAGTAAAATGTGTAGAAGTAGGTGAATTCTGGCTTTGCTTCAGCCGTTCAGGGATTCCATCAAGGATCCAGACTCTTAGGGAGATCCTAAGACAGAGGCGTTTTGGTGGGGGAAGGGGATAAATACATTTGTAAAATGTAGAGTGTATTAGAATAAAACTAGCTTCTGAAACAAATAAACCTTAACATTCAGTAATTTTCCATAGTAGAAATTTATTCATTTCTTAAGGAATAGAACTGGGTGAGTGAGCAGTTAGGCATGCCAACTCTTCTCAATAGAGCTGTTTAGAGATCTCTGGAGATGGCTGTGCCGTAGCCAACAAATGCCTTCTACTGTCACCCTGTGTTTCTTTTGCATTCCAGCCTGCAAACACAGAGGAAAAACGAGAGTAGTCTCAATGCACAGATAATGATGGTTAGATTGTGAGTATTGAAGGTCTTTCTAGGAGCATACCTAGTTTGAGATCCCCTTGCCTACTCTAGTGATATAAGCATGGTCTTGTGTTGGGTAAGACATGAAGTTTCTCAAATTCTTATCTCTTATGAGAAGTATACTTAGTTATCATTTGTCTATTTTTCACAAGAATGAGACTTAAATTAAAATTACTTCTGACTATTAATGTTCTCGCTGTTTAGATTCCAAAAATGAATAGGAGTTGGTCATACACATTCATGCCCATTTGCATTTTGTTCGTATTGTCACCTATTTGTGAAGACTTCTCACACTTCTTATGTGCTAAGATAACATTTTAGTTTTCAATAAATTAAGTGTATTAAATAAGAATCTTTTCTCCCCAGTGTTACCTCTTTCTGCCTCTTTTTGGGAGTTTTCACGTCCTTTCACTGGAATGCTCTAATATGCTCA